TAAGATAAGATAAGATAAATCTTGTCATTGTTCCACTGAAAAAACACTGTAGTCCACAGACAATGAACAAAATAATGTTTTGCAGCTCCTGTAGTTCAAATAAATCAGGACATTAAAAAAGAAACGAGGTAGAAAAAGAGTTAAAAAGTAAGATAGGATAAGATTAAAAAAGTGAAAACAGTCCAGTTGATCCAGACCACTTTAATAATACAAGAACATCAGTTTCCTTCAGGTGTTCTGGTTCTCTTCCTCAGATCCGAACCCATAGTGAGGTGAACCGGACCTTCAGAACCTGCAGCCCAAGTGGATCAACTGTGGCGTCCATCCCCGTCAGGCTAGTCTGGATCTCAGATCCTCTGAGCTATCTGCAGCAGGTAAGATAACAACGTTTCTACAGAGCCGTGAACCAGGATGTCTGAGCTGTCCTGTTAAATTCAAGTTCAAACCTCCATCCCATCATCTGCTCTGAGTGTTTGTCTTGTTTTAGCGYTTAAATCTCTGCAGGACAAATAAAAGTGAGCTCTCAGGAGGTCCGAACAGTACAGAACAACGAGGAACAAATCTGCATTTAAATGGAGTTAACCTCCAGACAGGAAGTCCTTTTAGGGGAAGAGATAAATCAAGTCTGACATAATCAGCCGTAACTCAACTCTTAATCTGGAGAGGATTAAAATAAAACTCTCCTGGTTAAATATGACACTTTTTAAAAGGTTTCTTTTCTTATTTCAGTGAATTAAATCTCTTCAGTCAGATTCAGTGTTGTTGTTGTTGTTGTTGTTGTTGTTGTTGTTGTTGTTGTTGTTGTTGTTGTTTTTGGTCATTTTATCAAACAGACGACCTTCTTAGTGTTTTAACTTCTCTGAGTTTGAAGAAACAACCTGATGGAAAACCATTTATTTCTGAGTGCTGAAGATGTTTTCTGTTTACGAGCTGCTCTCGTCGTGGCGGCAGAGGTCAAAGGTCGGTGAAGACGGAGAGATTGATGTGCGGCGTTGTGAGGTTAAAGACTGACGAGCGTCCGTCCTCTTCAGAGCCCGGTCACCACGCCGGCTGCTCTGATTGCTCATCCTCCTGCTTTACGGCACAAAGTCATATCTTTTTATCTCTGCTAAGAGCTGAAATCAGACGTCTCTTCAGCTGAGGGAGAGGAAGATTAATCTCATGTGACGGCAGGAAACAGCTGCTCGTTACGGCGTTCTGTTGGAGCAGATCTGGACGCTTTGTGATCAATTAAAGCAGAACGAAGGAAAATGATGACATCGTTAATTTAAAGTTTAAACACTAATAAAGAAAGAAGAGTGAAAATGATAGATAAAGTCTTTATTTGGGATTATTGATCAAGCGTGAGTGGCAGCAGCAGCTAGCTGTAGCATTTCCTGCAGGAATATCTGAAGAATCTCAGCTGCTTTTTTATGTTTTATTTTATATGTGCATGTTTGTTGTTTGYTTTGTTTTTCATCACAAAATGAAAAGACTCTGAAAACCAGATGAAGTGGTGAGTAGGGGTAGGATTAAATACATTTTGTTCATCCTACTTCTTTTCAGACATGTTGATGGTGCTAAGCATTAAAAATGTAATAATAACTACTAAAAACTAAACTAAACTAAAACTAAGCATTAAAAATGTAATAATAACTACTAAAAACTAAACTAAAACTAAGCATTAAAAATGTAATAATAACTAATAAAAACTAAATTAAACTAAAACTAAGCATTAAAATGTAATAATAACTAATAAAAACTAAACTAAGCATTAAAAATGTAATAATAACTAATAAAAACTAAACTAAGCATTAAAAATGTAATAA